GCAGCAAGTCTCAGAGCCTTAGTGTTTTTGGTTTCAAGCATTCTCTAGCATGATGATTAACTCTCATACAATCCCGGGCACAATTTTATCAATATAGATAAGGCATATACTCCAAATAAGTTGGAGGCATATTGGGTCCAACTGCCACGTCAGTTTTGTACCCAGAACTCCACAGGCTTATAAAATCCACTCTATTAGAAAACAGAATGGCTTTTTATTGATTTCTAAACTTTACACAACAATTAAGCAAAAGGAGACAGCCTAACACTTTTTAAGCCCAGAGGTTGTCTTTCCGGTCTCATGATGAAGCCAATATATACAATACGTACATCTCCTACTACCAATTCTTCAAGTCACAACATGAAGACCAGAGCTAGATTAAAAAAAAATAAATGGGCCATGACTTCCACCCCACCCACAAAATGGTCCAGGCGGGTGACTCCTACTTGCCCGTTGCTCAATCGAACCTTGCTGAAGATAGAAACCTCTGGGTGGGGAGGTTTTTATTCAAATAAATACCTAAGGATGATGTTCCATGAGAGATCTCCTGAGCAAGACAGCACACCCACCTGCCTGGGAAAGACAGGAAAGACTCTGTGTCACCTGTAATGAGCTGAGGTGGAATCCCACAGATGACAGAGCACAGCATCCGCTCCCTCCTCAGCTCCACTGTGGTAACTGGGGCAGGCTGTAGTGGTACAAGTTTCTCCTCTGTGGACCCTCCCCGCTCATTACATCTAAATGCTACCAGATGATCTATCTCAGTTCCTTCAGCTGCCAACTCCATTGATCCCATGGTAATCTGTTAAATACGATTTTTATCCAAAAATAATGGAGCTAGAGTCATGACTAACGTTTATTGAGCACTATGGGCTAGCCACGATGCTAAGCACTTTACAAATCATCCATGCAATCCCACCAGCAACACTATGAGGTAGACGTTCTTACTGTCATCCTCACTTTAGACAGAAGACTGAAAACAGTGAAGCCTAGATCCCTGAATTTCCAGGCTGGTGCTTTATCATCATGTAACATCGTTGTAGCAAGTATCACCAAATACTTTACTTCCTTCATAGCAACAATTAATTGCTGCCAAACTACCTGAGCAAGGATCCCCATGGTTTGGAAGCCCGTAAAGACTTCCTGGATCAATCCAAACAAGGTTATTACCTGAAATTCTATACGCCCCTCTCGGCATCCTACTACGCTATTAGTCAGAGTCCTCCAGTGTTGATTAACTGACAAGAAATGCTTTATTTGCCTGTGACAAAGCTGCATATCAGAGCAGTTTTCCTTGAGCAGTGCCGAGTTGGTACTCTACTAAAAGATAACAGATGTCTGATGATGGAGATATTTAGAAGCAGAGCATGAGGTCACACATCTTGGTGTACTTACAAGCTTGGCAGTTGTTACTGTAACCATGATGAAGCACAAAGGAAATGCCTGGAGATGGGAGAGCTTCTTTAAAGAACCCTGAGAGCGTCACATCAGACAGTCATTTTTAGACACCTTAAAGGGGCATGGGTGTCAAATCAGGCTTCCCAACAAACTCTGGGTATGTTCGTCAGAAGATGGAAGGTGGTTGAGAGAGAGACAGGAAAGACAGAAAAGTTGGGGAGAGCTGGGAGAGAGTGAATAAAGATGGAAGAAAATAGTCTACTGATAATAGACTAACATCAAGAACAAAGATATTTACTCTGCTGAGATTGAAGAGGAAGAGCAGGGGGTGGTGGGGTGGAGGACATAGTCACCGTAATGAGCCAATTCCTAGGGTGATGACCCCCGATGGTCTCTCTTCTCTGGGGCAGTGGGGAGAGCCAGAGGTACATTGTTCAACACATGGCTGGTGGGGGAGATGGGAAAGAGAAAGAAGTTTAAAAAATAGTTGCGGTGGACCAGAGGAAGCAAGAATGATACCGATTGACAGGGAATAGATTGTGGCTTTTGTTGTAACACACAAATTATTTCATGAATTAAGGTTTTCTTCAGAATGCTCTGTGGACCCTGAAGGGAAGAGATCTGTGGATTTGTGGCAGGAGGGGAAATTAGTAGAATAGAAAAGGGTGAAACTTAGCCAAATCATAGGGTTAGTAGAAAGAGTAATTAGAAAAGAACTATAGTCTGAGGAAGCAAGAAGAGTTGAGAACCTGTATACATGCATTCATTCATTTCATAATCTTTTATTAAGGATCTATTGGATAATGGTCATCTGCTAAGTGCTGTCTACATAAGGATGAGTGAGATCCTGCCCCGGAGTTAAACCTTAAACAGTGGCAAGGCTGTCACTAACAGCTATGGAATACATGTATACACATATGCTTTGGAAAAGTTGGTTCTAAGTGGTGCCAAGTCTGTCTCACACTCAGACAATAAGAGAATCAGAGAAAAAAGCTGGAGTCATTCAGATAGCAGATAGATCCAAACAGTCAAATGACGTCCAACAGAGAATAACTATTGACATAAATAGAGGCCAAAGATCATGAGAGGCGAGCGACCGGGAGTGCTGCATGATCCTGGAAGAGAGGCCTGGGACTCAGGAGAGCTGGGAATCCAGGTTGAATCCAGCCACTGGAAATACCGTTCCTTGAATTTAGAGAAAGGATATAATTTGGTGTGGGGGCTAAACTCTCTGGCTTTCCCCCATCCCCTTCCACTCTTCATACGGGATTGTAGGAACCTATCTAGAATGGTCTGGGCTTAGGACTGTTTTAGCTGAGGGAGTCAAATGAAAGGAGTAAAAATCATTGCTTCCGCAACAACTAGTCAGGGATCCATGTCCATGTAGTCTGGTCGGCCTAGGGCCAATATTAATATTTTTATTGATGTTTTTGGAAGGATGAATCTAGACTGTATACATTAATCTGATGAATAACACAAAGACAAAAATATACATGGCCTGTGTCCTTGGTGATTATTTATCGTTTAGGTGTTTATTGCCTATCTTCTTCAAATGAGACTATAAGTTACATGAGGGCAGGCACTCTGTCTGTCTTGTGCGTTGCTATCTTCCTGGTGCCTGGAACGGTGCCTGGACCTAACAGTCACTGGGGAGGTTGTTTTAGATGGCTTTGACAATGCCACTAGATGGTGACACACACAGACAGCAGGATGGCAGAGGAGTATTAACTCCACCGTGGAGTTTGGGGAAGTCTTCAGAAAGAAGGTGGCATTTGAACTTGAAGAGTGGGTAGGACTCTGTGAAGTGGAATGGAAAGGGAAGAGTATTCCAGAAAGGGTGGGATACCATAAATAAAGGCACAGTGTCATGAAGAAAATGATGTGTTTGGGAGATAATGTTTATTTTATTTTTATTTTTATTTATTTGACAGAGAGAGACACAGCAAGAGAGGGAACACAAGCAGGGGGAGTGGGAGAGGGAGAAGCAGGCTTGCCGCTGAGCAGGGAGCCGGATGCGGGGCTCGATCCCAGGACCCTGGGATCATGACCTGAGCCAAAAGTAGACGCTTAATGACTGAGCCACCCAGGCATCCCAATGTTTACTTTTTTGAGAGAGAGAGAATGAGTGGGGGCGGGGATGCAGAGGGAGAGGGAAAGAGAATCTTAAGGAGACTCCACGCCCAGCACAGAGCCCAACATGGGGCTTGATGCCACCATCCTGAGATCAGGACCTGAGCTGAAATCAAGAGTCAGATGCCTAACCAACTGAGCCACCCAGGCCCTCTGAAAAGCTTACTTTTTGAACATCGGTACTTTTTAAGAGTGGACAGTATTAGTGCAGAGTAAACTTCCTTCCATACCTTACTTTGTGCAATAGTTGTGAAACAAGGACCACAGGGGAATGCAAGTCAATTAAACACTTTTAGAAGACTATGGAGTAAAATTCTTATGTGGATAATCCTGCCCATAGTGAATCACCCCTATATATGGCCTCGGTCTAGCTTTTCCTAGAGGTTTATTCAAGGAAGTAGGAAGAAGCTGGAGAGTTGAGAGAAAAGGTAACAGTGGCTAATATTTTTTTAACAAAAAGAAAGATCCAAGTTTAAGGTTATTTAATGTGAAGAGGCAACACCACAAATGTTCACCATTTCAAGATTAGCACTAGCCCACGCAACCTGTCTTGAAAACAGATCAGCAGATGTGGAACCTTCAGATACTTATTTGGTGAACACCTACGACACAGCAAGAGCTCTGCCCACTTGCCTCACCTAATCCTCACAACAATCCAGAGAGGTCGGGATCACCACCACCCTCCAGGCTACAGAGGCCCAGAATGGTTAGGGAACCGGGGTGGTAGGTGAAACTGAAATCGAGGCCGACCCCGAGGCTCACCCTCTTTTCTGACCCCATGCTGCCTCTAAGGTAGGCAGCGTTCTGCTTGCATATAGAGAAAACGTTCTTCATTCAACATGAAGCACCACACCACAAAAAGGCACGGGTTTGGAGAGTGTTAAGTGAGTCATTCTGGGCCACTCCTGTTGCACTGTGAAGCATTGCTCCCTAAATAGCCCCAGACCACGGTGTGTATCATCCATCCATTACAATTAACCCCGGGGTGAAGATATTGTTTCGAATACCTGGTTGAAATGCAGATATGTGACCTGGGAGGACTGACAGCATCTCTCAATTACACCTAATTAAAGAGCGGGCTCTTGGAGAACTTGACCTGACTGCCCAGGTGTCGGGAAAGGCGGGGGCTGCCCGCGCACCCCGGAGGGCTGGTCCCCAGGCATAGGAAGGCAGGTGGGGCGTGCGTGCCAGGATGGCGGGAATCACTCGGTGAGGCCGAAAGGGCCGGAACTGACCTAAAGCAAACTTTGCCTTCTGGACAATTCTCTGGGGAGCAAGCGAGAAGCACACCTTGCCTCTCATTGCAGGGCGCTCTGTAGGACACACTGACAGGTGTCCGGGTCCCCGCGCCTCCCGCGGGTCAGCCCGGCACGACCCAACCGGGCCACCGCGGCCGCGTCCCCGCTCTGGGCGCCGGGGGCGGTCCCTCCCCCGGCCCCGCGCCCCCGGCTGGGGACTGGGCATGCTCAGTCGCCGTCCGCGTCGCGCTCCCAGGGAAGCCTCCGCACGCCCTCCGCGGGCTGCTCGCGGTCTCCTCCCCGCCGCCGGCCGCCCGGGTGCCTCCCGGCTCGCTCCGCTCCCCGCGACCCAGATTCCTGGCCCGCCCCCGCCCCGCCCGCGCCCGCCCGCAGCCAGTGCGGCAGCCGCGGCCACCCTGTGCAGCCGCCGCGCGGGGGACGGACGGACCGCGTCCAGCGCCGCCGCGAAGCGCGCAGCCCGAGCGCCTGCGGAGGGCGGGGATGGAGACCCGGCCGCCGCGCGCCGGGACCTGCTGAGCTTCCTGCCGCCGCCGGGGTCCGGGTGAGTCGCCGCGCCTGGGGCCGACCCCGGAGGGGCAGAGGGGCAAATGCCCTTGGAGAGCAGGGGGGTGGCGACGAGGACGCGGCACCGTGCGAGCTGCGTTGCGTCTGGGGCGCAGCGGAGAGGTCAGGGCTGTGACTAGAGAGGAGCTGGAATGAGAGCGCTCTGTCTCGGTGCAGGGGCATCGGGGGGCTTCGGGGGGCAACCAGGCCCGTCATCCTTCCCCCCCACCCCGGCCTTCCAGAACTAACACCCGCGGGGCTGCGGGGCCGCGCTGGAGGCCGTTTGCGTCTCGGCCCGGACGCGGGTCTCCTAGCGACCGAACTGGGGCTCTGGAGGAGACATCCCTGGCAGAGGCCAACATGGGAGACGGGGACACCAAGGGCGGCCTGGCCCCGGCCAGTGGCCGACCCGGGTCCTGCGCCCCCCCACCCCACCCCCGCGCCGTGGCCTTGGGCCCCAGGGGCGGTGCGGGCCTGCGGGGCAGGAGGTCTTCCGCGGTGCGGTCCCCGAGGGGCCGTCTGAGGGGCTCCTGCAACTGCCAGGAAAGTCCTCACTTGGAGAGCATCTCTCCTTCCCGGGCAGATAGAATGAACAGGCGTGTGGGGAGCGACGGGCGGCGGGGCTGCCGACAGCGGAACGGTGGAGTGTGGCGGTGGGTGTGCTGTCGCGATGCCTTCTGCCCCCGAGTGTGGGTGCGGGCTGCTCCTACTCGGCGTGCTCCTGCTCTACCTCTAAGCTGCGAGTCCGGTAACGCCTTCTGAATATTTCAGGAACGACCTCGCAGGCTCGCTTGCTTCAGCTCAAGTTTAATGAGTGTGGTTGTCAGCCCTGCTGCACTGTACAGCCAGGTAGAAGCAGCCCCGTGCCTTAAGCTTTCCAAATGTCCTCCGTTTCTCGCACCAACTAGGAAAATGCCGCTACTGACCCCCAGTGAGCTTCGGCATGGTCCCAAAAATTGAGTGTGTCGTTTGGAGAGCCCGGTTTTGGGCAGGCATCCAGGCATTGTTCTGCATCTCTGCAGTGTGTGCGTGTTGTGCCGGTAGCTTGCTTGACAACCGTCCTTAACTGGAGCTGCCAATATGGTGGAAAGCAGGTACTGTGCTTGTGTCGGGATAAACGTCTTAATTCATTATCCCCTTGTGACACCCGGCAGTTATGCGGACTTAGTCATTCTCTCCCTAGAAGTTGAAGCTGAGATCAGTCCAGCTGAAATTCTGAGGAAGGTACACTCCAGTATCCCTCTCCTTAGGGAGGTATTTCTCTCTCCTTAATGCTTTCGTGGGAATAAGTAATGAGCAGTCACTGTCAAGAACACTGAAAGAAGAACGCATTAATGTGGGAAACTTTCAGGATTGGAACAAGCTGTCCCCTTCACTCCCACTGCACCATCACCATCGGTAAACCCGCGCGCACACAGCAGTTAGTACTCTCCCATGGTACTCCTTTGCAGAAGAAACCTGCTTTTTCTTTCCTTACTGAGACAGGTATGTCTTTCAACGACCTGTGAGGAATTCTTCTGTTGACCAAGGTTTCAAGCCTCCAAGATTTACAGGAAACTAAAAGAGGCAACTCTTTCCGCTTTCCAGCCCGTTCACACTGACGCTGAAGCGCTTGGGTTTACAGATGTTTCCCATTTAGGGGCGGCTTCTCCAACAAAGACCCACTGCAGTTACATCACAGCCCCAGCTCCGCCTGCCGGGCTGCTTCTCCCCAACCTCTGAGTGAGGACAGTATGTCTCACTGTGCTTGATTAATGAAGAAAAGAAATCCCCAAAATCAAAGACTTACTTATTTTCAATATTGTGTTTTGCTGGCTTAATTGAAAATATGAAAATTTAAAAAATTATTAATTATTAACACATGTAGGTAGGACTTGACTCAGGCATAGTAATAACTGAGTATCAGCTTTGTAAGAGATTTTGAGCAGTGCTACAGTGTTCTTTCTGCTAAAATTATTAACATATTAGAAAGGAGTTATATAAATTAGTAAAATAAATGGAAATTATATAAACAGCATTTCCTAAAGCGTGTTACTGAGATGTTCGGAAAGAAACCCAGCTGCAATAAAAGACAAAATCTGCCCAACTGAGAAGTTTGCAGAGCTGGGACACAAACCTCCAAGTGCTCTAAAGAAGCATCTTTAGAATTTTTAAGGAGTCGCTGGTTGAACTGTCAGACTTAGCAAGTAAAAATACAGGCTGCCCAGTTAAATTTGAATTTCAGATAAACAATGAATAATTGATTTTAGTTTAAGTATGCCCCATGCACTTCTTGCGACATACTTAAAAAAGTATTTGTTGTTTATCTGAAAATCAGTTTTGATGGAGCAGCTTGTATTTTATCTAGCAACTCTAGTCACTGGAAAGTTCTCACTCCTCGTTTTTGGGTCACTTATGGGTTGAAAATAAAGTGGAGCAGGAATCATATGCTGCTCTGCAGACAATCTGGGACAAGCTCATTTCTGGTTCAAGCTATTGAAAATAACTCATGCTTGAAAGTTAGTAGTTTCAGTTCAACACGTATTTGTTGAGTACCTCTGCTTGCTAGGCTTAGTGAGAGGTGCCAAAGCTGTGAAGATGAGTAGGGACAGTGTGTGTGTGAGGGGGGAAATCTACATCATGAGACATGAAACTTGCTTCGCCAAGTGTGTCTAGGAGCCTGGGAGCAACACTGAATTCTGCTGGGCAGCTCCAGTCGGGGAGTGAGATGACCAGCACTTTCAAGGGGCCTTGAATAAGAGAGTGAGATCTTATCCTTATTCTGGGAGGAAAACAACCCCTGGGTTGATAGCTAGTGGAGGAGAGCCAGAAGTTGAAGGGTTTTACTTGAAGGCTTCAGTTAGAGGACAGAGTGGCCTGCTGAGGAGGGAAGTGAGAAAGAGATTCAGAAAGAGACTTTAAAGAGTTGCTGATGGGAGGGAGCCGAGATGGGACAAGTGCAGGGCTTGCTAATGGGTGAATGCATCTCATTGCATTTAAAAAAGCAGTTGGTCTGCCTTTGACTAATACCCTAAATCCTGCTTCACTATTCCGCTACCATCCTGGTTTCCTCAGGTAAACAGTCATCAAGTAACACTGGAGTATAGCATTTTATAGTGTTTTGTATGAAAGTAGATGTTTAAGTGTAATATTGAGATGTCTATCAATATTCAGTTGCTTCTGGCACAAACTTCTGAAAAACGATTAGCAGATGTTTTGGTTTTAGCAGATCTACTGCCTCAAGTAGGAAAAGATACTAACTTGCAATCATTTTCTGATGTTGTCCAGCTATCTTTAAGGAAGCAGATTCTGATGGTGGAAAGAATGTAGATTTTACAGAAATAGCACTGTGTGAAAATGACCGACCATATGCTTGTAGTACCAGAGAGTACCTACTCAGAATATTCCAAATGCAACTAATTCCAAAAAATAGCATACCACTTATATTCGTGTCTGAAAACCCAGCAGGTGCCTTCACTATTAATCAGCACAGGAAGTTTCCAGAGAAGTTAAAGATCAAACCAGTACAGTTCATGTAGAGAACTCAAAGATTCCAATTTGTCAATCTCAAGGAAAGGACACAGAGTGCCATTCTAGATAGCACTTCTGTCAACAAATCTAGTTATCTGAGGGACCATCTTCAGAAGAGGCTCATATGTTTGAGTATCCAGATGGTTAAATTTCCATTTCATATTTTATAGTAAGTCTTAAAAATCATAAAAATTACTCTATGCTAAAATGCATAATGAAGTAGTTAATTAGGGTCTTTCTTATCAAAGGATTATCCTTTAAAATAGAGGGAAAAAAAAGTCCTATTTCAGATATTTGTACCGTTCCTCTTTGTAGTGTCTGCCAAACGTGTCTTGCCTTATAATTCTGATAGATGAGAAAAAAAGTGATCTAGGACATAGTGAACTTACTAAAATTTACAGGCAATTAGACCATAGGTTTTATTTTCAGCAAGATTTCCCATGGATATGGCTTATTAAAGAAAGGCTTACTGCAATGGTCTCTAATATTAGACGGCTTACGTGCACTATCAGCCCGCGAGAGCTTTAACTGAAATTGTGTGCTCGGTTCACATTCTAAGTCCTCAGTAAATACTCTGAATTTAAAGCATCTGAAGACAGTGTGTTCTTGCTTCCCAGGAGCTTTGAACCCTCCAGCACACTTATGCTGACCACGAGCAAGTCTTTTTTTTTTTTTAAATAATTTTTTATTGTTATGTTAATCACCATACATTACATCATTAGTTTTTGAGAGCAAGTCTTATTTTAAGTTTCTGTGCTATAAAATGAAAGATAGGTGCATTTAAAAAAAAATTATGCCAACTCCAATCCTCTATGTCTATAAAATAAATGTTAGCTGTTACTACTGTTTTAAGGGATAAATAACTTCATTTTCAGGGTAATAAGACAATTTGTATATTGTCTGTGTACCCTCCGCTGTTTTAGGCACCACTGAAATAATTCACAATTTGCTCTGTTTCATTTTATGCTTTTTCGGTACAAAGTGAGATGATTGTGGTAAATGCTTAAAAAGAGCTCATTAAACCCCTTTAAAAAATCAGTCTCAACGAACCATTAGAGACGATGGACTCTGAAAAACAAACTGAGGGTTCTAGAGGGGAGGGGTTGGGGGGATGGGTTAGCCTGGTGATGGGTATTAAAGAGGGCACATTCTGCGTGGAGCACTGGGTGTTATGCACAAACAATGAATCATGGAACACTGCATCAAAAACTAATGATGTAATGTATGGTGGTTAACATAACAATAAAAAAATTATTAAAAAAAATCAGTCTCAAACAAGCTAATAACTGCAGAACTCAAAGGTCTTTACATAGTGTTTAAATGTAGTTTCCATTTTAATTATTGGTATTAGGACTTGGTTAATGAGAATGCTTAGTATAAGAGCTTATTTCAGCTGCTACAACTCTCCCTCCTATTTCCCTTGTACAGCTAGATGGCAAAAAGCTGCCATGTGTTTTGAAGGTTTCATTCATGGTAAAATTAATAATT